ATAGTTTATCTGTCGCTACGTAGCTGTGGTTTGGTTACAGTAAACATACATTTGTCTAAAATTAATTTTCTTATTGGCCTATTCATTTTGACTAACCCTGTACTTTCATTAGCATCAGGAGGAACAAACAGAGAATCAGATTCAAGTTCAAACTCAGGCTGAACCCCAACATTACTATTAGATTTTTACTGTATTTTTACCATGTCAGGAGTGACTTGAGAAACTCCCAAGTTGCTTCTGGTGTGAGAGAATTGGCCGTCTCCAAGGATGTTGCCCAGGGGACACCCGGATGTTTTACCGTCCTGTGGGGGGCTTCGCTTTATATATCTATGGAAGGTCCAGGGTGGGAGAAAGAACTCTTTTCTCCTTGAGCCAAGTATGAATGTTGCAAGTGCCCACCTTGAATACTGTAATGAATTGTCTAATTATAATGTAGGTTTTAAATATGTTTATTAATATATATAAATAAAAATGTAATGTTTGTGAGATTAACAGAACTCAAAAATCACTGGACGAATTGACACCAAATTTGGACACAAGACACTAACAAACCAATATGTGTCCTTCACTCAAAAAAATGATTTTGTCATTTGGGAGTTGGTTACTGGGATTTATAGTTCACCTACAATCAAAGAGCATTCTGAACTCCACCAATGATGGATTTGAACCAAACATGTCACACAGAACTCCCATGACCAAGAGAAAATACTGGAAGGGTTTGGTGGCCATTGACCTTAAGTTTGGGATTTGTAGTTCACCTACATCCAGAGATCACTGTGGACTCAAACAATGATGAATCTGGGCCAAACTCTACACGAATACTCAATATGCCCAAATGTGAACACTGATGGAGTTTGAGGAAAAGAGAATCTTGACATTTGGAGTTGTAGTTGGTGGGATTTATAGTTCACCTACAATCACAGAGCATTCTGAACCACACCAATGATAGAATTGGGCCAAACCTCCCACACAGAACCCCCATGTGGGCCACAGCAATGTGTGGCAGGGGACGGCTAGTGTTATGATATAAGTGCAGGCCAGCTGTTGCGTTACCTTAGCTGATGCATTGCTATAAAAGATGGAAGATTTATTTGGGAAACAAAATCCCAGCGCTTGCCAACAATATATAAAAGATAGAGACTTTATTTGGGGAACATAATTCCTTATAAGGCAGAACACCACTTGTGATTGGGATGAGGCTTCTATGTGTTGAAAGCCCAAAAACAAAAGCTGCACTAAGCTGGAACTTTCTTCTGGCCGAAAACCTTTTGAAAGAACCCTCTGGCCACCACCAAATTAAAAAGCACTTATAAACCCTTGGCTCACTGGAGGTATCTTAGGCAAGAGTGTGTTGGATTTAGTACTCAGGCTTGTGTTTCTGAGACAACACTAAAATATTATTCTTTAAAATATACGCTGCCACCATTTTCCAAGTTAGTCTCCTGTTTGCTGCAGGAAACTGCTTTTAAAACTTCACCCACAGAGGCACACGTGAGCCAGATGTTGTGAACAACAAAACAATGATGTTTATTTAAGAGAACTGGAACAATTCAGGTATAAAGCTTAGCTGTTTCAGAGTATTGACTTAAAAAGGGTGTGGTTACCTTAAGCAGTTCAGACTTAGTTACACAGGAACACTTCTCTCTCCCTCCACAGAATCTACTAACAGAATTGCCTCTCTGAAAGTAATTCTAAACACCAGCACACATAGTCCTAACCTAATCTATCTCTACACTCCTCCACCAGCTATTTCCCTAATAGCTGTAGAAATCTTTTCTCTAGCAATCTCTCCTAGCCAACAGACCAATTTCAGGCCTCTCTCACTAACCCTTCACCACTCCTAACTCCCAGCTCCTTCTTTTTTGACTCCCCCAGTCAATCTCCTTTGACACCCAGATTCAATCTGCCTGACAGGGTTTTAAAACGTTCCTTTAAAGTCATTTTTTTATTTTTCCAAGTTAGTCTCCGCCCACTGAGCCTGTAATGAATTGCTTTCAATACAGGACATGCAACTTTAGCCCAGCGGGAAGCCAGGGAGTCTGAAGAGAAGTTCTCAGGATTTTCACCATAAACAGTCTTTGGAGGGCTTGTGAAATATAATAAAGTCTTTTATTGGTGAACAATCAACAGAAACTTCTTTTGTCTTCAAAAGGTTAAAAAAAATGCTTCCAGGCTTTGTGCAACTGGTGGCTTCTAACTGTTGCTTTTACTCTAAAGGAAAATCCCTTTCCAAACTTCTCCCAGGCTAACTGTGATCCTAAACCTAACTGATGTGGATCCACTACCGGGCTGAACTGCGTCTCAAAACCGAGTGGACCTACCAGTAGGCCTGTAGTCACTTTAGCTGGAGTTCTTGGATGTTTAAAGCTGTTATTCCCTCCGAAATTCCTCAGGGCTGTAAGGCTGTTTCCCTGGGAACCTTTGGGAATCTTTAGATGCTCTTAAGACTGTTCTCCCCGAGGTCTTAAGGGTTGAAGCCTTTGTACAGGAGAAAGTCTGTACATGTCCTGTACATTGACTTTCCTTGCTGAGACTGACTGAAAATGGCTCCCTTCCCTTCTCAATTGTCCTGAACAGGGGGCGGAACCAAACTTAATACGATGATGGACAGGGGGCCTGCCCTATAACTGCAAACTTTAACAGGAAGCCACCCTTCTGCAGAATCCCAAGCCTTGGGCTGCAAGCAAACACTTAATACAAGGCAAATAAAGTGGGAGCTTCTGGTACAGCTGTACCAGCACAGTTAGTATTAGAAGGGGTTCCCCTTTCCTCCTCCTATCATTCCTTCTTTTCTTCCTCCCTCCTTTCATCTTTCTTTCTAGATAAATTCCCTTCTTTTTAAAGAACCAGTGATTGCCTTTGCTGGTATCTATCTCCCTCTACGTTCCGCCTCCTAGTTTAAGATCTGCCAAGGAGGCCCTGCTCTCGGTCCCACCAACTTCGCAAATGTGGCAGGTGGGGATGAGGGACAGGGCCTTCTCGGTGGTGACCCCCCGGCTGTGGAATTCGCTTCCCAGCGAAATTAGATCAGCGCCCTCCCTCCTTGCTTTCAGAAGAAAACTGAAGGCGTGGTTGTGGAACCAGGCTTTTGGCTAATGGATATAACGGCACCTGAACAGTGAATTGGACCAGATGACGATTGTTATAATGGAAATGTTTTTATGATTGATAATTAATGTTGTTTTAATGTGTTATATGGTATGATTTTATTCTGCTTTTATAATTGTAAGTATTGCGGCATCGAATCGCTGCCATTGTGAGCCGCTCTGAGTCCCCCTGCAGGGGTGAGAAGAGCCGGGTAAAAATGATGCAAATAATAAATTTATTTATTTATTTATTTATTTATTTATTTATTTATTATTTACTGTATTTGTATACCACCTTTCTCAGCCAGTTGGCGACTCAAGGCAGTTTTCAACAAATCAGTACACATAATATAATACAGGTTAAAACATTAAAACAATATAAAGCACAATGGAAGCAATAAAAAACATCATTAGCGTATCCTTATTATAAAAACATTGTTCAATGTATTGTCGAAGGCTTTCATGGCTGGAATCACTAGGTTCTTGTAGGTTTTTTTCGGGCTATAGGGCCATGTTCTAGAGGCATTTCTCCTGACGTTTCGCCTGCATCTATGGCAAGCATCCTCAGAGGTAGTGAGGTCTGTTGGAAATAGGAAATGGGTTTATATATCTGTGGAATGGCTGGGGTGGGGCAGAGCTCTTCTCTGCTGGAGCTAGGTGTGAATGTTTCAGCTGACCACCTTCATTAGCATTTGAAGGCCTGGCTGAGCCTGGGAAAATGTTTTGTTGAGAGGTGTTAAGATGTGCCTGGTTGTTTCCTCTCTGCTGTTTTGCTGTTGTAATTTTAGAGTTTTTTAATACTGGTAGCCAGATTTTGTTCATTTTCATGGTCTCTTCCTTTCTGTTGAAATTGTCCACATGCTTGTGGATTTCAATGGCTTCTCTGTGTAGTCTGACATGGTGGTTGTGGTGTGGTCCATCATTTCTGTGTTCTCAAATAATATGCTGTGTCCAGGCTGGTTCATCAGGTGCTCTGCTATGGCTGACTTCTCTGGTTGAAGTAGTCTGCAGTGCCTTTCATGTTCCTTGATGCGTGTTTGGGCAATGCTGCGTTTGGTGGTCCCTATGTAGACTTGTCCACAGCTGCATGGAATACGGTAGACTCCTGCAGAGGTGAGAGGATCCCTCTTGTCCTTTGCTGAATGTAGCATTTGTTGAATTTTCTTAGTGGGTTTGTAGGTGGTTTGTATGTTGTGTTTCCTCATCAGCTTCCCTATGCGGTCAGTGGTTCCCTTGATGTATGGCAGGAACACTTTTCCTCTGGGTGGATCTTCATCTTGACTCTCGTGGCTTGTTCTTGGTCTTGCAGCTCTTCTGATGTCTGAGGTGGAGTCTCCATTGGCCTGGAGAGCCCAGTTGAACACAGAAATGCTGGACCACTCCAACAACCACCATGTCAGACTACACAGAGAAGCCATTGAAATCCACAAGAAGCATGTGGACAATTTCAACAGAAAGGAGGAGACCATGAAAATGAACAAAATCTGGCTACCAGTATTAAAAAACTCTAAAATTACAACAGCAAAACAGCAGAGAGGAAACAACCAGGCACATCTTAACACCTCTCAGAACATTTTCCCAGGCTCAGCCAGGCCTTCAAATGCTAATGAAGGTGGTCAGCTGAAACATTCACACCTAGCTTCAGCAGGGAAGAGCTCTTTGCCCCACCCCAGTCATTCCACAGATATATAAACCCATTTTCCTATTTCCAACAGACCTCACTACCTCTGAGGATGCTTGCCATAGATGCAGGCGAAACGTCAGGAGAAATGCCTCTAGAACATGGCCCTATAGCCCGAAAAAACCTATAAGAACCTACATTATTCAATTCCATCACTGAGCGCAAACACTAGTATCTGTGTTTGCGCTTGAGACTCTGATGTCTGCATTTCATTTTCAATATGAACCATGAAAGGGGGGAAATATTGGAGGAAAGAAGATTTCTGGCTTTCACTATTGATCACTTTCTTCTTTCTTGACCAGGAAAATGAGGACTCTGTGGAGCCACCTCTTGGATTCAGCAAGGAAACCAATAATATAAGAAGGAGAAATCCTCTCAAGGTGATGATCTTACTGAATTATTGGCATAACTTACAGATAAAAATGAAATAAGAGTCAAGGATCTGTCTTGCAATTCAACACCCACATCACTGTTGACATGAAGGGGAAAGCATCTAAATGCCTGGAGTGTGGAAAGAACTTCACTCGGAGGAATAACCTGCAGCAACATCAAAGGATTCACACTGGGGAGAAACCCTACACATGCCTAGAATGTGGACAGAGCTTCTCCTGTAGTTCAAGTCTACGTTCACATCAAAGGACTCACCTTGGGGAGAAACCCTATACGTGCCTTACATGTGGACAGAGCTTCACTTGGAGTTCAAGTCTATATAGACATCAAAGGACTCACACTGGTGAGAAACCCTATATGTGCCTGGAATGTGGGGAAAGATTCACTGAGAGTGCAAATCTACGTTCGCATCAACGGACTCACACTGGGGATAAACCCTATATATGCCTGGAATGTGGACAGAGCTTCACTAATCATTCGAGTCTACGTTCGCACCAAAGGGCCCACACTGGGGAGAAACCCTATACATGCCTGGAGTGTGGAAAGAGCTTCAGTCAGAGTGCACATCTACGTTCACATCACAGGACCCACACTGGAGAGAAACCCTATACATGTGTGGCATGTGGAAAAAGCTTCACTCAGAGTTCAGGTCTACGTATACATCAAAGGACCCACACCAAGGAGAAACCTTATCAATGCCTGGAATGTGGAAAGTGCTTTACTAAGAGTGGAAATCTGCATACACATCAAAGAATTCACACTGGGGAGAAACCCTATGCCTGCCTGGAGTGTGGAAAGAGCTTCATTCAGAATTCAAGTCTACGTTTACATCAAAGGACTCATACTGGAGAGAAACCCTATACATGCCTGGAGTGTGGAAAGAGCTTTACTAAGAGTGCAAATCTACACACACATCAAAGGACTCACACTGGGGAGAAACCCTATACCTGTCTAGAATGTGGACAGAACTTCCCTTGTAGTTCAAATTTACATTCACATCAAAGGACTCACACTGGGGAGAAACCCTATACATGCCTGAAGTGTGGAAAGACCTTTACTAAAAGTACAAATCTACATACACATCAAAGGATTCACATTGGGGACAAACCCTATACCTGCCTGGACTGTGGAAAGTGCTTCGCTCAGAATACAGGTTTACGTTCACATCAATGGACACACACTGGGGAGAAACCCTATACATGCCTGGAGTGTGGACAGAGCTACACTACGAGTGCAAATCTACGTTCACATCAATGGACCCACACTGGGGAGAAACCCTATACATGCCTGGAGTGTGGAAAGAGCTTTACTAAGAGCGGAAATCTACATTTGCATCAAAGGACCCACACTGGGGAGAAACCCTATACATGCCTGGAATGTGGACAGAGCTACACTACAAATGCAAATCTACGTTCACATCAAAGGACCCACACTGGGGAGAAACCCTATACATGCCTGGAATGTGGAGAGAACTTCACTCAGAGTGCAAATCTGCGTTTGCATCAAAGGACCCACACTGGGGAGAAACCCTATACATGCCTGGAGTGTGGAAAGAAGTTCACTCAGAGTGCAAATCTGCGTATACATCAAAGGACCCACACTGGGGAGAAACCCTATACATGCCTGGAGTGTGGAAAGAGCTTCAGTCGAAATGGAAATCTTCATAGACATCAAAGGACTCACACTGGGCAGAAACTCTAGCAATGCCTGGAGTGTGGACAGAGCTTCATTGAGAGTAGAAATCTATGTTCACATCAAAGGACTCCCTGGGGAGAAACCCTATACATGCATAGAGTGTGAAAGAGCTTCTCTGAGAGTTCAAATCTACATAGACATAGAATTCACATTTGAGAGAACTGTGGTATTTGACTCCAGAGAGACTCTCTAAGACAAAGCTTTCCAAACTTGGGTATGTTGGGTACACACTTTTTAGAAATGCATTCTTTTGTGACATGGTAATTCAGTTTAACCAGCAAACAAGAGGTAAACCAACGCTTTTGAAATGTTCAATATATATAATGTAATAATAAAGATATAGAATCATAGAATCAAAGAGTTGGAAGAGACCTCATGGGCCATCATCCAGTCCAACCCCATTCTGCCAAGAAGCAGGAATGCTGCATTCAAATCAGCCCTGACAGATGGCCATCCAACCTCTGTTTAAAAGCTTCCAAAGAAGGAGCCTCCACCACACTTCGGGGCAGAGAGTTCCACTGCTGAATGGCTCTCACAGTCAGGAAGTTCTTCCTCGTGTTCTGATGGAATCTCCTCTCTTGTAGTTTGAAGCCATTGTCTCCAGGGAAGCAGAAAACAAGCTTGCTTCCTCCTCCCTGTGGCGTCCTCTCACATATTTATACATGGCTATCATATCTCCTCTCAGCCTTCTCTTCTACAGGCTAAACATGTCCAGCTCCTTAAGCCCCTCCTCATAGGGCTTGTTATCCAGATCCCTGATCATTTGTGTCACCCTCCTCTGGACACATTCCAGCTTGTCAATATCTCTCTTGAATTGTGGTGCCCAGAATTGGACACAATATTCCAGGTGTGGTCTAACCAAAGCGGAATAGAGCATGGGGAGCATGACTTCCCTAGATCTAGACACTAGGCTCCTATTGATGCAGGCCAACATCCCATTGGCTTTTTTAACCGCCAAATCCCATGTGAAACATAAAGATCGTGTTCCCATCTTGTTAATATTGGGAGAGTCAGTTAGGAAGTGGAGATTAAACCCAAAGGTAGCCTTTATTGAAAAGGATAAACAGGTCATCAAACAACAGATTCAAGAATTCTTTATAATTAACAGGCAGTCACAAATAAAAGAAAAGTTTTTATGGGACCGTTTTAAGGCAACCGTAAGGGGAACATGGATCTCATTGGAAATAGGGATCAATAGAAAATGAAAATTCACATTGGAAAAAATGAGATCAGAGGTAGAGGATGCCCTTCAACTTTTCCAAAAAAATCCACCAGTTGAAAATAAGGTAAGTTGGAAGGAGTAATAAGAACAACTGGAAGACTTAGATAAAATCAAGGCCGCAAAAATATTTATGTGTTAAAAATGATTAATTCGAAAAGAGTCGCTAAAGCAGCCGGGCTGTGGTGCAGCTGGCTGGGAGTCAGCTGAATTAAGATCACTACTGACCAAAAGGTCATGAGTTTGAAGCCATCCCGGGTCGGAGTGAGCTTTCTGACCAATTTGTGTCACTTGCTGTCGGCCTTTGCAGCCCGAAAGACAGTCGCATCTGTCAAGTAGGAAATTTAGGTACCGCTTATGCGGGGAGACTAATTTACGATGCCATAAAAATCTCCAGCAAGCATGCAAAGAATGAGGAAGTAATTCATCAGTGTCACAAATGGACGGTGAAGCGACAGCTCCCCTGGTGGCCAGAAGCTGGAATGTTAAATAGCCTCTGAGTGTCTATATATGTTGTGTGTCTATGGTATTGAATGTTTGCCATGTATATGTACATTGTAATCCTCCCTGAGGCCCCTGTGGGGTGAGAAAGGCAGAATATAGATACTGTAAATAAATAAACAAATAAAGTCCTAAAATCGAAACAAGCCAGAAGTAGAATTCTCAAACCAAAAGTTGATAGTAAACGGGGCACACTCTAGACAAATTAATATCAAGAGTGGAACCAGTCATGCCCCCTTTCTCCAGCTCTGTTGTAGTACAGCCTGAGGCTGATGGGTTCACTGATGATTTAGAGGGGATCGTGGGATTTCCTGTGGATCTTCCTGGGGCATAAAGTGATGAAGATTCAAGTCAGAGAAATGATGGTTATCTCTGAGAAAAACCTGACTTGGAAAGTGCAGCGCTTCAAGGTCAGTTAGAGGAGCCAGAAACCGCAACATTAGATAAGGTGTCGGGCGAAGAGCTATGTGATACAGAAGGCTCCCAGGGAAAAACACCTAGAGCTACAGAGATCAACAAAGGTCTTCATTTACAGATTAGAGCAGAAAACAGACTGTCGGCCCAAGTGTCTATGTGGGAAAGTTGGGAAGAAAATTCATGGGGAAAAGAAATGACTTCATGGGTGCCTATTAATTAGCAAGTTGTTTACCTAAGGGTTAGTTCAGGCAACATAGCATTCAAGTGAGAAGCTAGGCCTGAGTTCTCTGGTTCTCGTTTCAAGTCAAGCCTGTTTTGGATTTAAGTATCCTGGAAGTTTTCTATGTTCTTGTTTTGATATTCCTGCTCAAGTTTTAGTAAGTATACCTTTTGCTTGTAGACTTATGCTGCACTTGTGATTTCTTGGCTATTTCTGGACTGTGTTACCTTTGGATCTACATGAGACATTTGGATTACTGTTTGATTATCACCTATTGCTAACCCCTTTTTGGATTATATATCTTCTTTCTTTGTTCCTGATTTTTCATACCTTTTATGTGTTTTTACAATAAACTGTGCGCTGATACACTGGACTCTTGTGTGGTGCTGTGGTCACAGGTGTTTCCAGGCCTGGGATGCGACAAGCCCTATTTGCATTGGCCATTGAGCCATTAGCAAATTTAATAAGGAACAACCTTGTCATTAAAGGCTATAAGGCGGGCAAGGAAGAAATTAGGATCAATCTTTTTGCAGATGATGCTATGGTAATCTTAGAGGAGGTGGATATTGGGGTTCAGCCTGATCCTGATCTGTGTGAACCGGATTCTCTGATAGTTTTTCCAACTGAGCAAGCTCTCCCTGACCCTGACAGTGTGGAATCTGTTGTTGATGCAGAGGTCAGCGGGGATGAAAAGGAAACTCAACAGCTGGAGGAAAATGTTTTGGAAGTTAGCTGTGATATCACTAGCCGTGATATCTCTCCACTTGGGGTTTTTAATGAGGACCGAAGAGAACAGATAGTTAGAGACAGAAATGTTTCCCAATTTCTACGAAGGTCACATCATTTACAGGAGAGACAGGCCCAGGCTTCAAAGTCAAGGGGCGTTTCAAAGAATAGCTTCTTTAGTTTAAGAGGCCTCCTGCCAGATCAAGCAACGTTTAGGACTGTGGCTGTGCCTTGGCAGAATTCCTGTGTTTCATGGCCGGTAATCCCAGAGGCTTAGTTATCAAGTTCATGGTTAGTAAAAGGCTAACAGATTCCTGGTTTTTGTATTGTGGCTTTTGAAATTTTGCTCAAGTTCAGAGATTCTATTGACTGCTGTGTTTTTCTGTGGCTTTTTGACTTTGCATTTACCTTTCTTTTGTTACTAATTTTTCATCAATAAACAAGGATTGCTTTTCCTACAGTCCAGTGTGGTGGATTTAATCTTATGATCTCGTTTCTTGAACTGGGATGCAACAGTGGAGGAGTCATTCAAATCAATAGTTAAAATAATCAAGGACTTTGGAAAAACTTCAGGCCTCACAATGAATTTTGAAAAATCAGAGATGTTATGTATGAATCTAACATGGCAAGAACTCAAGAGGGTTCAAAACATTATGGGAGTGAAATTGCAGGAAAAGAAGATAAAATACCTGGGGGTAGATATCCCCAAAAAATGTCAGTAACATAACACCAATGGACTGTAATCATTAGGGTTGGATAGGCACATTTGAAATGTATTGAAATTTGAATTAAATCATGTGAATTTGGACATCCGAAGTGAGTTTTGAACCATGCAGGAAATTTGGCCGGGGGGGGGGGGGGGATTTCAAATTTGAACCACTTACCCATTTTTTCCCAAAATATTTATTTATTTTGATTACTTCTACCCCGTCCTTCTCACCCCCGAACATTCTGTAATGTTTGGATCTCTCCCAAGGTTATTTTAACTTTCACAATTAATTTTTTTGGTAAACTCCAAAAAAGCATAAAGTAAAGCAAGGGAACTTTTAAAATCTCATTATTTTGGCCGGTGCTGCCAGAAAGGATGCTAATCACAGCCATCTTAACTGTAGTTTGTGAAGGCCAGGCCCCCAATGGTAGAGATTGCAAAAGGCCTGCTGTTAAACTACATTTCCCACAATGCACGCCTGCTCAGTAGCCAAATGATGTCTGAAGGACCCAAAAACACTGTCTGTAGCAGTCTTCGTCTAACTGATTGAATCTACAGAGAAGTCTAAAGAAGGCAGCAAAGCAATAAGCAACTTTTGCAAAGCCAAGAGAACATAAACTGCTTAAAAAACCAATCATTTTACCTTTGCCTGATTGCCATGAACAAGGCACTGTGGTAGTCAGCCACAGCCAGCCAGCCA